TAGCGTGATCACTCTAGGCCAGGGGTAGGGAAACTCCAGCCCTCCAGCTGTGGTGCAACTACAAATCTCATGAGGCATTGCAAGACTCTGACAGCCACAGGCATGACTCCCAGAGTCAGATGTATGATAGGATATGTAGTTTTACCACAGCTGGAGGGCTGTAGTTTCCCTGCCCTGGGCTAACTATGGCAGCAGGACTAGTCTATGTGCTTGTTAGGTTGGGGAGAGGGTTGCCAGTTGCTGCTGATAACCCTCCTACCCACTGTTAGTCAATGGCAGGACATGCCCATCTCCTTCCTCAGGCTTTGTGATTGACAGCATAGTGCTGTCAACATTGGCCTGGATGTGAGGCTAGCATGGGCTGCCTTAGTTGTGAGACATCCGGCTCTGGCACTGATGATAGGGGTAAATAATATGATTTCTAGGCACCAGGGGCCAGGCAAGTAAAAACTATTTGGGGAGGGAAGGAGAATGTATGGGGGGGGGAGGCTTTAAAGGAAAAAAATTGCCCATAAAGGGGCTTTAAAGGAGAACTATGAGGTGAGTGCTTTTCACTCACCTCATAGTTCTAGCCGACCTGTGACAATGAGACTGTCACAGGTCGGCTCAGTAGCTCGGGAGGTGAGCGAACACATACCGGCGTTCGCTCACCTCTCGATCCTGTCACGGCTCTCTGCCGTGACAGGGGAGGGGCTGGATTCCCCCCTTCCCGCTCCGCCAGCGCTGACTGGCGGAACGGACGGGGAGGGGGCGGGTACAGCTGGCTCTGCCTCTAGATAGGCAGAGCCAGCTGTCAGTCACGCAGCTGGGCGGATCCAGACATAATTGTCGGGATCCGCTTCAGCTGCGGCGTCTTAGTATACCGCGAGCAGTAGCTCGCGGTATACTTCGGCGTCTCAGTATACCGCGAGCTACATACTGAGCCTAGGGTGACGGGAGGACGCTAGTTTGTGTCCTCCCGTTACCCTAAGGAGAACTATGGGGAAAAGCCTTAACCCCATAGTTCTCCTTTAAAGATCAGCTTTTGGTGGCTAGCCATAGGTGTGGCTAGCCACACTCTTGCATGTGTCCTCATTATCTGAGTTCAATGATCCATCAATATGTTTGAACTTCACAAGCAAATTGATGATGTGAGCACTAGATTCAGCACATTTCAACAGGAAGCAAGCTGAGGCCATTATCTGGCATTGCCTGGTCATTCCAAGCAATGCATTATTCAATGGGTATGAAGCAGCAGCCGGGTTTAGCACTTTTGGATAGGAATGGAAAAAAAAATATGTTTACTGATGCAGCTCTGTGCGGCTCGCTACATGAAAACACTAGAACTAAAAGAGAACTCCAGGCTGGGCATTAGCAACAGCTAAGGATAATTTTTCTATTATGCATAATATAACTAATTCTC